AGACATTAATACATTCTATCTACATATACAGGATATGTTATAAAATAAATAATATAAATAATAGTTTGACATGTAAGGAACAAAACTGAATGTAAGAGCTAATAAAATAAAGACACTCATAATAAATAATAATAAAAAAGTATTCCCAAAAGTTGGAATATATGCAGTAAAGCGTCGAAACTGGAAAGTGGAATGTTTGAAAAAAGAAGTCGGAATTGAAAAGTGGAATATTTGCTAGAAAGAGTCGAAGGTTTTTATTTGATCTAGTCCTTGCAAACTTGATACAGTTTCGACTTTTCCAAGACATTCCACTTTCCAGATTTGGCTTCTTCCTGCAGGCTTCGGAAAATGGAACGTCGAAGGTTTAAAGCGTCGAAACTGGGAAGTGGAATGTTTGAAAAAATAAGTTGGAATTGGAAAGTCTATCTGCTAGAAAGAAGTAAAGGTTTCTATTTGATCTAGCCCTTGCAAACTTGATACAGTTTTGAATTTTCCAAGACATTCAACTTTCCAGTTTTGGCTCCTGCAGACTTCGGAAAATGGAACGTCTGCTAGAAAAAGTCGAAACTGGAAAGTGAAGTGTTTGCGAAAAGCAGTCAAAATCGGAAAGTGGAAGTAAAATATCTGCTTGAAAGATTTAAAGGTTTCTATGGGACAATGCCTTAAAATTATTACAGTTTCGATAAAAATTAACTGGAAAATAGACTTTCTGCTGGAAAGATCAAAACTGGAAAAGAACTGGCTGTTGGAAGGATGCGAAACTGTACCAAGGCAAAATCACACAGAAGCTGGCAGAAAATCAAGCGTCTGCTCACTTCGCTTTTCAATCTGTTCCAGAAATAAGTGCTCCTTTAGGTAGAAATTCCACGCGAAATACCAGAATTTACCACTGATTTCCATGAAAAGCGAAACCAGCAATAATTTAAAATAAATAGAGAACAAGCCCAGATATAGGATCAGCAGATCAAACAGCTGTGTAAGAAGCCCAAAGACATCTGAAGTCGCTTTGCAAATAAAAATTTTATTAGTTAAATTATAGACCTAAAATAAAATCCATCTGGAATTGAAGAAACATATAAAGAAAATGTAAGTTAAACGAAAAAAGTATGTCCAAATATTTATATGATCTTAAGTGTCAGATTTGTTGTAAATTCTCTGTCAACAGGTGGTCCGGGCTCGTGGTACAGTACCCGAAGGACTCAAGCACGGTAGCACAATCTGCACAATTTGCCGCACACTTGCGTACAGTCAATACAAAAAGCTATGCGGCAAGGACGATCGTTGGATGGAAGAACATAGATATATGGAAAAACAACTGCGCTTCGCGCTAACTGATCAATTAACCAAGCGGCGATCCTTTTTCGGGCACAGGGTACAGGGACCTAACCTAATTGCACTTCTGCGAATTTATGCCGCGACACAGCTGCGCGTTTTTACCCAGAATATGCGGGATTAATCCGTTTATGGCCACGGATTAAGTTGCAAAATTTTTCAACGAAGGTCAACTGCGATTTCCATGGAAAGCGCCGACTAAGCACAGGTAAATCTAGGTAAGAGCCGTTAAGCCGACCTCAGGTACATGCACGTCCAGGGTATATAAGATCGGGCTGCGAACGTATCGAACATCAGTTTCCATTCGAGTGCCAATGTGTAAGGAACCGGCGCAAAGAAGAAGCCCAATATAACAAATATTATATGGTAAACTTTGTTCAGTTTTGCCAGGCTCTTTTTGTGCGCATCACTGGGTGAAGTTTGTCGTATAATCGCAAAAAGAACAGCAAAAAAAAATAAAAATAAAACAATATTATTAAATAAAAATACCAGAATCTCATAGCTCTGCTTTTGGGATGCATTTTGTGCGGTTATGTCTGCCTCCAAAACCCATCACTGGGCAAAGTGTGTCTCAAAATTGTGGCTACCAGAGAAAATAACGCAGCTCAGATATTCCAGTGTTTCAGTGTGACAGTGTTCCAGTATTCCAGTGTTTCAATTCCAATATTCCAGTATTTTAAAATTAAATGGCGATTGTCGGTATGGTCGCTTTTTCAAACAATATACCATTATCTATATAAAGTGACTAGACCGAACACTCGTGCTATAATTTTAAAATGTTCAACGTATATAAAAAGCACAAGTTCTCGATTTGATAACCGTCGCAATATATATATATATATATATCTATATCATATAGAGGTTGCAATTAGTTTCTTTGGTCGTCCAGCCTTAGGTGATTTCTCTGATCATAAAGCTAGACAACCATTGAAGTTCGTTGTGGCATAAGCAGCGGCTATAATCTGACCATATATATATCTGATATTCTCGTATACTATATATAAATTGGGTCATGCTCTAAAAGGAACGATCGTTGTGATATGCGTTCATTAACCGTTACATATCACAGTGATTTTCCTTTATAGCGCGTGCAGCCCGTAAAGCAACACCACATACGATCTATATCCATGTCTATATAGACTTAAAACTATATCGCCCAGTTATCTGTTTATAGCCTTTAAAGTAGAGAGAATAGACGCTGTGCTGTATGTTTTGCGTATGGTCTATATCACAGTGGCTGTTCTTTTTGTACCTGAAGCGCCGTACAACGTTGATTTCTTAAATTGTGAAAATTGAATAAATATTTGCTGACAAATTTCTTATGTGCTATGTTTAACCGCAGGGAACTGCTGCTGCTGATATACTGTATAGATTATATCGATTCCATATCACAGTGGCTGTTCTTTTTGGTTGCATCGCAATCCACAACAATTTGTCAGCCGAAAGTACTTTTATTATTAACTAACTTGTGCAATTTGTTCACTTTAATGACGCTCGTCAATTGTTTAAAAGGAAGAGAACGTTCGCTGTTGATGTAGTCGACCTTTGTACTCTTTATATCACAGTGGCTGTTCTTTTTTGTTTAGCAATTTCTCAACTTAATTCTTAAAAAAAAAGAGATTCATTTAATAATAAAGTGTTTTATATCATTTCATTTTTTGAGCAATATTAAAATATTAAAATATATTAAAGAATAATTTTTTGTCCCTTAACAATTTGTCAACTCAATATATAAACACAATGGTTAATATAAATAAAGATCAATAATATTTAAAGCATTTTTTTTGTCAATATTAAATAAAATAAAAGACAATTATTAATTATTTAAAATGTATTTTGTTTGATAATCAGTTAAATTATGAAAATAATAAAATAACAATAAAAAGTTATTTTATAACATAATTTATTAATAAAATTAGCAAATAAATAATTAATAAATATTTAAGCATTACAGGGAATAAAAATAAAACTATAATTTTAATAAAATAAATCAATTTAAAAAAAACTTATTTTTTTTAAATAAATTAACTAGATAAAAATATTAAATAAAATAAATATTTATTTAAATTATATTTCCTTTTTTTCCAATAAAAATAATAGCCATTACACATACGCATAGGCATTATTAATATTATATCAAGTACTTAAATAAATTTAAATATTTATAAACGATTAAATATTATTTGTTTCACTTTTGCTTATATTTGAAACACTCTATCAATTTTTTATATTTTATTGATAAAAAAGATAAAAATTATAAAAATAATCAAATAATAACTATAATTAAATTGTATTTTAAAATTATATACAGCTATTTTTTATTATATATCTTACATTTAATATAACTATTATCATTAAAAATGAAAATAAAATGGAAAAATTAAAAAAATGCTGTTGAATATTATCAAAGGTTGCTTACTTCGAAAATGATATATATATATATTTATTTCTAAATAAATATAAAAACAAACTGCATGAATATTAAGGAATAACAAATATTTTATTTATGAAATAAGCAGTTTAATCTTAGGTCATGCGGAAATATTTTTGTTTTCGAGAATTCATTTGCAAATAATACTTTATTTATATTATTTTCACAACTAGCTTTAAGACTTTGCGCTTAGAAATAAAATAAACAATAACATTATAATTAAGATTCGAGGTATCATTAGAATAAAAACAAACTCTTAACAATACAATCTTGAGTTAATAGGCATATTTCCACGCACATTGAAAAACTTGCGACGAGTCGTTTTTTTATTTTTGTAGTGGAACATTTTATTCGTATTTCCGGCGCTGAGTTTCCTTTTCCTATTCCTATTCCGTTAGCCAGGCACAATACGGCCAGGCACGTGTTGCCATGTGGCAGGCATTGGTGGCATGCAACAATGGCGTCGACATTGCCAGCCATTATATGCAGCCATGTGCGTGTGTGTGTGCATGTGTGGCACACAGGTAGCTGGCTGTCAATGAATGTCATTTTACTTGGAAACGCCCCCGAACGCCTCAAATGCCACACTTTGTTGGCCAACACGTTCACGCCGCTTTTTTTGTGGCATTTGTGACAGTTGCAATGCCAATTGAACAGTTAAATAACTTTCAGAGATTGTTAACGAAATTTAAGATATTGTTAGCTAAACAAGCTTTTCATATATATTTATGTATATAACATATAAGCCCGAATCTTAAGAGCTAGGGATCTTACAGTTCAAGGGAAAAGCAACAGCATCAACATCAATCATAAGCCTGCGTGGCTTTGCTGTTTGAGCGTTGAACGAACAAGCGGAGAAGTCGCTAGCTCAACTCACAAGCGATTTAGTCGCAAGCTCACATATAACAGCTATCAATATCATTCGTAATACTGCCTGGCTTAGCTGTGTGAACGTTGAACTAACAAGCGGAGAAATCGCTGGCTCAAATGTAATTTTCAGTTTTTAAAGCTGCTAAGCTTAATTTTAAGTTCAACTAACAAGCGACTTAGTCGCAAGCTCACATATAACATCTATTAATATCATTCGTAATACTGCCTGGCTTAGCTGTGTGAACGTTGAACTAACAAGCGGAGAACTCGCTGGCTCAAATTTAACATTCATCAGCACGAATCGTAAGCCTGCTTGGCTTTGCAGTTTGGACGTTGAACTAACAAACGAAGTAGTCGTTGCGTCAAATTTTACATTATTTTATTTCTTTATTTTGAACAATTCGTTAACACTTGCATTTTTACATAACTTTACATAATAATTTGTATGCATTTTTTGTAAATCATTTACAATTTATCTGGGATACGCATAACGGCAAATGTCCCATAGCTGTAATATCAATATACTATATAATTAATAAAAATTTTGAAACATATTTTTGGTTTAGTGTTTGCTACTCTTTGTCTGCAAAATATTTCCCATAGAAACGGGAGAAACATTCTGAAATTGGTAGCGCCTCATTCCTCTTTGCTAGCAAAACGATACAAATAATTCTCGACACGGATCTTGGCACGCAGTTCCCTGCGTGAGGTGGACTCGGTGGCGGCTGTGGTCCCATTGTGATTGTGAAAGAAACGACAATAGCGGGCTGGTACAAACTGTTTTATATACTGGCGCTTGCGATAGCGCTCCACGACACTCACGCTGCAGTGCTTGATGGCGGACATCTCCTCGCGCATGCACTTGCGGCACATATCCTTGTCGGTGGCAAAGCAATGGAAATAATCGCCTTTGGGACGCTCACGACAGACCAGGCACTGGGCCACATTGGTGGGGCCGCAGAAGACGGCCACCGCGGGCCAGATAATGCGACGGGTGCCAAAGGCGGTTTCCATTTTCCAATATGGATATTTGTTGTGGGTCGAGTAGGTGGAGGCACTGTGTCAAGCGGCAACAATTGTCTATCCATTGGGTAGCTTGTTTTTTGGCATTCACTGACTTACCCGGGAGTTACCCATTTGGGCTCCGGCACCACATACTTGTCAAAGGTGTAGCCAGCGCGCAGTATCCAAGGTGTTGCCTCATAGGCGCCCATGGGTGGAACAATCTTCTCCGGTTCGATGGGCAGACGGGGCGTCTTGTTGGCCAGAGCAGAGAAGCCAGCATTGGAGGGATACTGCAAGAGTTTGAGTGAGGAGATGTGGTAAAAAGAATAAGAAATAGAGAGAGAAAGAAAGAGAGAAAGTTCGAGGGGAAAATCCTGGGAACCAGACAGATATGGAAGAGGAGAGAGAAAGCAAAGCAAAATAGTAGAGGAGAAAGAAGATATAAAAAATACAGAAGAAAGAAAAATAGAAAGACAGACATGCAAATGGAAAAGGAAAGTAAAAAAATAGTGAGAGGCGAAAGAGAAAGAGATGGATTAACTGGGAGCAACAAAAGAAAGACAGAGAGAAAGAAATTAAAGTAAAGTTTAAGAAAAGAGATAAAAAAAAAAATCTGAAAGAAAGAGAGGAAGACAAAGCAAAATAAATAATTAAAAGGGATCATGAAAAGAGATAGAAGGAAGTGAAAGAAACTCAGAAGTGCGAAAGACAATAAGTGGAAGAAAAAGAGAAAAGCATACGCTATGAGCGAGAAAGGTAGAAAGATATGCAATAGGAAAGCAATGGAAGAAACGAAAGAGATAAAAGGAATACGGAAGAAAGTGATAGGAGGAGACAAAGCAGAAAGAAAGATTTGACAAAGCGAAGAAGTGAGCAAGAAGCTTAAAAAGATACAAAACAAATTGAAGAAAGTGAAAGAACAGGAGAGAAGCACAAGAGGACTGAGCTGTAGGATATTAATAAAGGTCACAAGTGAAAAAAAAGGATAAGCAAATGGAAGGTAGAAAGAACTAGCGGAAGAAATAAAGTAAAACAAAAGCAAGAGAGGCAACTTCAAGAAAGAGACATTTCTGTTTATCTATTACATGCGCTGCACTTACCTTAAAGCCAATCGGCTTGGAACAGTCGTAATCAAGTGGACTGGGCTGTTCGCGCCCCTCCGGCAGATTGGATCTCATGAAGCTGTTCAGGAAGGGTCCACTGACAGGCATCACCTCGCGATCCATGGTCGTGCCAAAGGCCACCTTGGGCACCACAGGCGGATTGACCACATATTCAAAACCTGTTGCGAAAGAAGAGAACAATTTGATGGAAACTTTACAATGGAATTGCAGTCAGGCAATGCCACCTCTTGCCCGGCAGCGTGCCAAGATGAGACGCGTCTCGGAGCGCTGACGACGCAGCTGCTCCCGTTCCTGGGCGTTTGGCTGGCGTGCACGCATCCTGGGTCGCCGTCGCTGCTAGACTGAACCCGGGGCCGCAAGCTGCCAAATTGATGGCCCTGTCGATGGCTGACTGGAAGCCGGATAACGTGCCCCGACTGACGGCAGAGGGCATGACACGCATGGCACGCACCTGCCCCAATACCAATCTGTGCACCTGCTATCAATTCAAAATCAATATGACAAACGTGTTTCCACAGGCGACGCGGCATTAGCCAAACGGAGCTCTGATTCCCCCCCCCCCCCCCCCAGTCTAGACAGCGTTCTATTTGCTGAACTTTGACCCAGTTCTCTCTGATTCATGGCTCTAATCACTTTTTGTGCATATTATTTCTATGTGGTAATATTGTGATATTGATGGCCATATTTGGAAATTGATATACCTAAAGGGTACTAAGACTTGACTTTGATTAGAAAGAAGGATTGCGAAAGCATATGCTCCAGATATATGGGTAATATATAGTAGTATATATGTTATTTTAATGCATTCCACAATATTTCTAAAAACTACTAAAGTACACAAGATATCTACTTATTTCTATTCTGAAAGTTCTTGAGCTAAGATTTTCTAGAAACAAGAAGAAAGAATCTTACGATTGAGAATGTTTTCGAAACTATTTCGAACTAGAGTTAAGAGCAGCTTTGCTAGGTTAGGATTGATATTTCTCCAAATAATTTTCTGCTAAAGTTTACCAAATTCCGCACAGCAGACGCCTTTGCGAAAAGAAGGAATATAAATCTTAAAGAAACAGAGAAAGACAAGAACTGACCAATCGATAACTAACTAAAGTAACTCGGGAATAACAAAAGCAAACACGCACAAATTCGTCATTCAAGTTCTTTTAAACATTATTAAATAATATGTAATGTTAACACTTGCATATATATGTGGATATATATGACATTATAGGGCTTACCTTCCATGATGAGCACTCAACAATTATAATGGCTTAACAATTGATCGGTTGATCTCTGTATAAAAGTACTTAAAATTTATGAAAACAATAATAATGTTAGTAATAATAATAATAACGCGACGTTTTGTCTTCGGTGCGTTTGACTAAAATAAACAATTTGAACAAATTGTACAAATGTGACAGGCTGAGTCGTAGACATATTTACAAAAGGCATGCTGGCAACAGAAAATTGCTTGAGAAATAGTTGGGCAAACATTGGAAATGTGGCATGCAACAGGCGCAGTCGGATGGCAGAATAATGCGTTGCATTTAAATTCAGATGTCGAGTCGGATATACGAGCCTAAGATACACACAAGGAAACTTTTAAATGGCTTTTCCAGCAATTTTCCAAGTGGGTTGTCCGGGGGGCTGGTTGGGTTGCGCTCGTTGCAACAACCGCAAAGTGTGCACCTACAAAATGGCAGAATGGCTGCATGACATTAATGCCAGTTAACCCCAAACGTTGTCCTCGTCGTCGTCGACGTCGTTGTTGGCGGCGGCGTCGTCGTCGTCGTCAGCTGCAGCTATGGCTTTGGGTTTTTCGGCAGCAACCAGCTCCTGGCAACCGCACCGCCCCCTACCCCTACACACCATTTTTGGCCAACGCTCACGCACATGAATGCTAATAGCGCAGGCGGCGGCGGCAGAGACGGAGGCAGAGGCAGATGCACTGACAGGCAGCACGCAGAATTGCACAACCGCAGCGCAGCCACAGAAGCCATGCAATGGCCCCGCCCACCTGCCTACACAAACCGCCTACGCGCACAGTAGCCTCACACTGCCGAAACTGCTAACCTATACAATTATTCAAAGGGTATTGAGTAGTTTACCTAATTGATTAATTATATTCAAAAACTGATTAAATGCAGGGCAGCGCGTAATTCTGAACGATTATTCGTGTGTGTGTGTGTGTGTGGGTTGCATTAAGCATGGATCAGCGCGCTGGCAGAGAGCGCTTATCCAAAAAGAGAGAGAGAGAGAGAGAAATAGAGAGAGAGTTGCAGATAATTAATTTGCTCACGCCATGGGCGCAGCTGATGCTTTAGTTTCAGTTATATTGTTTTGTCCAGTGTGAGTGTGTGGGTGAGTGCGCGTGAGCGGGAGAGCAAATTCAAACGTACGCTGCATTCAAGCTATTGGCGAAGATGCTTATGATCCCGTTGTCTATGGTGTGAGCGGGAGAGTTATCTTAGAAGTGTCTAGCTCTAAGCTGTTGCAATATTAGAGTGTATGCGGGCTTAGCGTAGGCGTGAGATAATTGCATCGATTTAGTCTGTGCGCGTCCGTCGTCTTAATCGGTCGTGTTCGTCGCGCCTGTTTGTTAAATAGTTGTTATCTACAATTAATTAACTACCGCTTATTAAATGTGTGCGTTCGTGTCGCGAGTGTGTTTTGTATACATTATATCAATCTTCCTATCGTTATGCGATCCTGATTGTTTCCTATCGCTGCAATATGAGTGCTTGATTTTGTGTGCAGAGCTTTTTTCACATAGGCAAAAAAGGGCGCGCAGTTGTGCTTTAGCCACAGCAGAGCTTTTGAGCGAACATGATAAGTAACGGAATGGAGAAAAAGCTGCGGCAGCAAAAGGTAAGTCAATTTTAACAGTTAAACTATTTTTATTTATGAGTATGAAGAAAATGCGATGATAGGTTATTTATTTTACAAAGTTATTTTTGAAGATTGTGCACCACTGTGCAGCAACAGCGTGAAGTGAGCTGCTTAATTCGTGCAAATAAAATGATTGTGCAACATATGTAACTGGTTCGCTTGTGGGTCTATTATTCCAAGTACAGTCACACACAGTAAGTCCTTGCATATGGGCGCGCACTTAGGGCCCAAAACAGCTGCTTGGGGTGGACCAAAACCCTAACCCAACGCCAAACCCAATTCCTCCCACGTCCTAAATATAGCTGCATTCTGTTGCACGCTTGCCGCAAACTTGCAATGCAATTAAATTGTAATTTCACATTATTTAAGTGTTTTGCTTTGCAACATTTTGGTTGGCGAAATTTGGCAAAGGGTAGATGGCAAAGAAGGGGGGAGGGGGGGGGGTCTGAAAATTCGTTTATTAAGTCAACAATTAGTGTAATGCAAATAAAACTGTTGCCATTTGTCATAATAATTTAAATACAATGAAGCTAACAAGTTAATTATTGTTTGGACAATGTTAAAAAAACTGTAATTCTCTCTTTTGGAAAATTGTGGAAAATTATTTACTTAGACTTTGTATGTGGCAGCCCACAAATTATGCTTCAGCACGTATTTCAAAGACAAAGTGTTTTTGTTTTGAGAGACTAATTGCAGTTTTATAGCTAATGTACAGTTTACAAGGGTATTCTTAGGGTATCACGGAATCTGTTATACCTTATATAGTTGAGCTCAGGCGAGCAACATGGTTTTATAAAGCTTTATCGTGCCTCTCTTCAGAAGAAAAACTTATTAATTCGATCTACATTAAATTACTTTATCACGAGAGAATCTCTCTCTCTCTCTCTCTCTCTCTCTCTCTCTCTCTCTCTTTTTCACTGTCTCCAATTGTCTCTTTTTCTCTTAAATGAGCGATTGTGATCAGTTTACGAGAAACAGCTCAAGACCAAATTATTTAAGGGCATCAAATTGTTGCCACATAGCAAAAGTATCCATTTGTACGGCTTGTAAATTGTTTTTGCAGGCAGTCTATAAAAAATAAAAACAGCTCAAATATTCAAATCAGTTTTTGGGAATTGCCAGAAAACTTCATGCAAGCCAAGTGGCGTGTCCTACACAAGCAATTACAGCAACAATGGGGCGTGCAAATAAAAATGCTTCAGCTTCGGTTGTGGCTTTTCAATTTTGGCCAGGACAACATGGCCAAGGCAGTATATGGCAGCATCCAAAAACGTGGCCATAAACGTGCAATTCGCATGCAAAGCACAAAAACTTTGGGCCAACAGTGGACAGACGCCAGTTGGAGGGGCGGAAGTGCCAAGCAGCATCCTGGCAGCAGCAACAGCAGCAACAAGGACATTGCTGCTGCTCTTGTTTTTGGCTGGCTGCTGTGCCTTTTGGCTAACGCAAAAATTTGCCTCACAATAAAAACAAAACAATGACAGCTCACAAAACAGTTTAAGTCTATTTTGGGCCGGAAGTGGCGCTTATTACGCAGGATGTGGTTAACCGGAAATGAAACGAAATAAGCCAAGTGCGACGCACTTCCACATCTTTTCTCTCAGTCCGTGTGTGTTTGTGCCTGTGCTTGTATTTGTGCCTGAGCTTAAGTGTGTGTGCCCAGAATTGAAGTGCATGGCAAACTAATTAAACATGCGCTTTAAGCTTATCGACTTTTGCATTCAATATCGCAATGCACTTTTGGCAGCCATTTAAATTCCTATTTACACTGTGCTACAAGTCTGCTGAATAAACATTTGCTAAGTAGCCTGTTTTACTCTAAACGAAAAGATTAACAATTAACTTAAGCAATGCTCTTTAAAAACAATCTCCTTTCAAATCATGTTGCACAGTGTAATTTTGCCATCTAATGCCTTTTGGGTGGTAAGCACAAACAAACGAAGTACGTTGAAATCAAATTACAAGATGCTTCTGCCATTTGCCACATGCACTCAAATAGCATCCACCGAAAGCCGAAGTCCCTGCCCCACTCTCGGCTGACCCAAATGCCATGCGTCTGCAATTTGTGTGTGTGTGTGTGTGAGTGTTGCATTGCAGGGCAGCTAATCATGCTAATAAACACCAAGTTGCAATTGGCCAACTGGCAGTTGGCAGCTGGCAGCCAGAAACTGGCAACTGGCAACTGGCGAGTGGCGAGTGGCAACTGCCACAAAAAGCATTCCATACTTACGGGCGACCATTCGCTGCCTTTTGCAGCAGCATTTTGCATTCAATGTGCGCTGCTGCTGCGGTTGTTGCTGTTCCGGCTGTGAGTTTTTGCTGCAAATCATGCAAAATTGCATTGATTATGCACTTGGCAGTCAATTGTGCCTTGGCCATTGCCATTACCAATTGGGCGCGATTTCGAGTGGCCCATTAAAAGTCGTGCATTCAAGCATTCGAATACCTACTGTATACCAAAAAGCTAAAATAAAATATTTGGCGGTTGCAAAACTAATAGGGTTTATTGTTACAGCTGTTGCTTGCAAATTTGCCGAGTGAGTGCTTCATTTAAAAACCGTCTTAAAAAAGAACTAGTGAATTATTCAAAATTTAGTAGAAATCATTGAGTATTTGTTAACCCTTAAAGGGAAGTGTGCATGTCTGCCTGCATTTATACGCTCGGTTTTTCTATCTGCATGCTCTCTTGAGCGTTTAATTTGGCAATTTATTTCTTGTTATGCATCCGTAACTTTTTTACCTGCAGCATGCACAGCACTTGTACACTGATATGTATATGTATACGATCAGAGCTTTTCACTTGATTAAAATCGATTCTCCTCTGTGCTACATCCTTAACAGTTTTTTTCCACACAGAGTGAATTGTTTCGAGCTCTCTTGCTCTCTACTAATCTCTACTAATCATGTGATTCGTAAACTTTTGATTCGGTAAATTACTCATTTTGCTCTCTTTCTTTCTCACTCTCTCTCCTTAAATGCCTTTCTCAGTGCGGGAAACCATGTAGTTAATCAATTCTCCTTTGTGTCGCATTCGTAAACCTTTAATCACAGAATTATTCATTTTGAAATCTGCCTCTTGCTCTCTTTATTTGTCTCTAGATTGATTGAGTAGTTACCCAATGCTCCTTTGTGTCGCATTCGTAAACGTTTTAACTTTTCATAGAAACCGCAAACAGTTACTTATTTTGTTGATGTCTTTTGAAAGCTTAACGCATCAAAGTCTGCAGCTAAAGTCATTCTTAACGTATTTTTCAACATCATGTTGCATGTCAGGGACAGAGATAAGCACGAAAGTTAGGCACGAATGCTCGTTGCATATCAGAGTAAAGGTAAATACAAAATTCAATTTGAAGCAATTGAAGTCGGAACCTGGGCTGCCCCTCTGCCCGACTGCCCGTCTGCTCGTCAGCCTTTTCGATTTTGTTGCCGGTCCATGGGCAATTCGCATAGCATACGTTCTTATCTGGCCCCCAGCTTGGCCGCAAACAAACTTCCTG